TACGCAGATCGCCAAGAGTTGCAGACGGAACCGGCCCGAATGAGGTCAAGGATCTCCAGGGTGCTAAAGATGCTCATCAAAATGTCCTGTGGGAGCTCCATCAGTGCCACTGGATGGTGAGATTTAGGGCCTGTTTGGTACAGCTCCAACTCCTAAATATAACTCCTGGAGTTGAGTATGGAGTGGAGTTGTGGAGCTGCCTAAACCCAGCTCCACAACTCTAGTACATTTTATGAGAGAGCTCCACCCAACTCCACTCCCAGTTTTGGTGGAGCTGAAACTGTTTGGCTGAGCTCCAGCTTCAGGAGGGGTGGAGTTGGAGCTGGAGCTGTGCCAAACAGGCCCTTATTAAGCAAACTACTCCCCTTGCTATCAACTTATCCTGATCTGATCCTTCAGAGATTTACTAAGAAAACTACTTGCAGTTAACTTATCCTGATCCTGAGATCCTTCAGCTGTTCAGGACTCAAATCTCGAATCCCCTTATTGGCAAAGAAGAAACCCCAACTTATTCTTGCTCAAACCTCTCACACTGTCAAAATCATGCTGCTGAATCACTGAAGGCAGCAGCAGCAGCACCCCAAAAGCAGAGTTGTAGTTCCTCCTTGTGAAAACCCCACCTCTAATCCCTAGTTAACAAGCAGCTATTCTTGCTAGAAATAATCGTCTTCCTGGTGTATGTACCTATATAGGAGTAATAAATAAAAGCAAAGCCGATCTCTGCCCGAGTAGGAGATTGACGAACTAGACTCCCGCTGTTTGATTGAGCCCTAGTCCCAAACGGACTAGGGCAAGAAATCCCCCACAACTGACATGACATTCAGATCCCGCCATTGCCCATTCATTGCCAATGCCTCGACCAACACTGGGAAGATCTATTACCGACCGAGACCAACCATGTGGAAACCTCCAGCCGCAAGGAGGCTCGGAGCGCCAGATTCTTCTTCCCGCTGCCGCGCCGGAGGAGGAAGGCCGAGAATCGGGGCCAGGGGGATTCGTGGTTCGTGGAGGGAGGAGGAGAAAGGGCGGCGGATGGGAGAGCGAGAGAGAAAATTGGCATAATCCCATCGTCAAACAGGTACCATCCGGGCTTCGCCGAAACACCATTTTCTTCTAATTATCTTTTTCCTCTAATTTTTGCTGACCAAAATACCAAGCAAACATATAGATTACATAGTACATATCACCCAAATATCTTGACATGCTATATTTTCATTACACTAAATTACAGAGTATAAGACACTATCTCCACAGCATAAATAAAAAATATTTTTTACATCACTAAAAACTGAGTTTCAGTTGAGAGTGTCTTTTTTTGATGTTGTGGAGATAGTACGCTGCATATTATGTATTCTGGTGCAGAGAAAAAAAATAAAATGTAAAAATATTTTAGCGTATTTATTTTATAATTTATGTATTTTTGATATACTTAAATTGGTTCAATTAGGGACATTTTGGTCAATAATGATGAGAGGAAAGAGAGAATTGGAAGAAAATGGCATATGGGCAAAGCCCATCAATTGAGAATGGTATTTCGGCAAATCCTAACTGCATAGTGGTATTTAGGCGAAACCCCTTTTTGACAATGGTAAAATGTCAATTTTCTCGAGACGAGATGACACAAGTATGCGACCAATCAGGCCCACGTGAGGTTCAGAGCCCACGCGGGTGCATTTCCGAGCCCGTTTAGTTCTAAAGCCCACGTTTTCGGATGCGGTTTCCCCGTTCCCGCCTCTATTTTCGATCCGTGTTCGCGAATCATAAAATCTACATAATGGCATATTGTCCTAACGGGATAGACTAATGACTACCCAATGCTCCATGCCTCATCTTGACTCGTCGTCTACGTAGCGTCATCCACCACCCACTGCGTGTTCGCTGCTCCCTCCGTCCTCTGTCCCCCTCTCCGCGGCTATGACCACTAGCTACTGGCCACCAGAAGCCGTTCCCTTGCTGCGTCAACTGCAACCCTATCTGAGCCGGTCATCGACACTATCTCCGGGAAGCCAACAGGAGTATGGCCGCGAGGAAGGCTGCATAGGGCTAGATGTCCACGGAAGGATGGAAGAAGATGAGGGAATGGCTTTTCTAGGAGTTTGTCGTCTGCATCTACTCACAATTTTGTCTTCTTTGGTTGGTGCTTTGATTTTGTGCTCAGGGTCAACGGAAGGATAGGGGTACATAGTGTTGGAGAGAGGAAGAATATGACTTATTTGGTACCAAACGATACTTCTAGGAAGTAGGAACCATACTTTTATACCTTTTTTTCGTTGTTACCTGGCCTAATATATAGTGTGGTTCACCTCGTGTACCAACCGGGACCAAAGATCCTAACTTTAGTCCCGGTTGTTGTTTCTAATCGGAACTAAAGTTTATATAGATCTTTAATTCCGGTTGGTATTAACAACCGGGAGTAAAAATCAATATACCGTATATAATCCCTTTGCACGTATCCTCAAAAATTTCTATCTCCTATTCCTCCTCACTCGTATCCTTTCCTTATCTTCCTATTCCTCCTGTCTCTCTCACACACAGTCTTATCCTCTTTTCCCACAGTGCCGGCGACAAGCGGGCGGCGGCGGCAAGAGATGCGCACGGAGGAGGGCGGTGGGTGGCGGGAGACGATGCGGTAGTGGCCGATGGCCTGCGCGGCGGTGGGGCCAGCGGGCGGTGGTGGCCCGCGCGCGCGGAGGAGGAGGCCGGAAGGGCGGCGGGCCGAGGGAGACGGCGCGGCAGCGGCCGGCGGCCTGCAGGGCAGTGGGGCCAGCGGGCGGCGATGGCCTGTGCGCGCGGAGGAGGAGGCTGGGAGGGCGGCAGGTCAGCGGTTTTTTTTTTTAAGAATTTGTGATTGGAGATCTGAGATATATTTGATTTGTGTGTGATGTATTCATGTGATGTATTTGTGATGATTTTTGTAGAGCTTGTGATGTAATTTTTTAGAATTTGTGATGTATTTGGAAATGATTGATTTGAGGATTTAGAGATATCTTCTGTTATGTGATCTGTTGGATTTGTGATATGTGATGATTTATTTGGGGATGATTTGGGGATGGAGTGAAATCAATATTCAATGTTAAAAACAATAAAAAAAAAGTAGCAATCAGTCCTGGCCTGGCTACATCTTTAGTCTCGAATTCTCTCTCTCGGTTTACTACCCGGGAGTAAGGGGGTTACGAACTGAGAGAGATGAGGAGTTCTCTAGTAGTAGTACTAGAATTAATATAAGAGGAGCGATGAAGAGAGAAAATGCCTTGGACTTCCGAAAGAAAATCAAAATAACCAGATTTGAGCTCATGTTTGAAATCCTTCAAAAATGGAGGCAAAGAATGATTCCAAAGAAAAAAAATTGCTAGCGCAAGGACCACGTAGAAAATGTTTATATGAGATTTGAGTTTTCTTTTTAGTATTGTTCAACCTTACTAAATTTGTGTAAGTTTCGATGTTACCGAATTTTTATAGCTGGTTGCATGTATTTAGTTTGATGCCTTTCTAAAATTTGGTAATGTTTTTATTAGAGGAAAATTCTGAAACTACCCACCTTTTTAGATCATATTAGTAAGATTAAAAATGGCAATAAACTGAATATGCCCATCGTGCCCCATACCAAAGTACTCCCTACTTGGGTGGTTGGTTGTGGTCAGTGACCTCTATGTTAAATTGGGTGCGTGAGTATGTGCTCATGTGGTGTTATGCGTTGCATGGAACCTATTGTAAGGTTTAAGTCTAACTCTTTGTATTAGTTTTGGTAAGGGTGTAAGCGGACAGACCTGTAAACCTGTCTATTTGTACTATAAACGGGTTCATGGTCTATCGCTTGCACCCCTAGTTTTTAACCGTACACATTTTTTTTTGTGGAGGCCGGGTTTTAACACATTTTTTAAAAACCTGGTATGTACCAACTTAATTTTTTCGTCCCATAAAAAAACAATCTAGTATCGGATGAGACATCTAGATATATCATATCCGGTTCTATATTTGTTTTTTATGTGACGGAGGGATTATATTGGAGAGGGGTGTTTTGCCAAAGAGAAAATATTATGAACGCTACCATCCTGGGGGCACAAGGGCAATTTGCAGAACTAGAGGTCGTGTCCAGAATTAGATCTTAGCCGTTGGATCGAGATGTGCCGTCCACTCATCCCACGTTCCTCAAACACTCCGGCCGCCGCCTCGCCGGCGCTTCTACCGCTTCTCTCGCCGGAGAGATGGGCGCCCCCTCATTCGTCTGCTTCAAGTGACCATGGGGCCCCGAACCCTCAAGTCCACCTGCACCGTGCCCTGCATCGCCGGGGACCTCCCCTCCCCCTCATCTGACGGAGGAGGCGGAGGTGGAGCAGCGGGCGCTGGCGAGAGGGAGGGACGCGGCCTGTGTGGGTCGCTGCAGGGGCTCGTGCGCGATCTCGAGGACGGCGCCGGCGGGCGGGCAGGCGGGCCAGATTCGTGCTCCCCGACGCCAACGACGACGACGACCGGTGGCTCCCCAAGGTGAGGCGTCTCGCCTTCTCGTGCCAATTTCATTGCTCCGTGTCCCATAGATTTGTGATGAGGATTTGGGCGTTAGTACTAGTTTTCAACTACTGCCCTAAGCCCTGGCAATGATCTACAGAGTATTAAGTCAGATTGGTCTCCTGATTCTAATTTTGAGCTGAGATGATTTACTAGCACGCATTGTTTTGGTGAGAAATGTCGTTTTTGTAGGTTTTATGGTAAATTGGTGACATTTGATGAGTGGATTGGATGTCGTGTACCATATTTCTGCTTTAGAAATTATTACATGAAAACGTACATGAATGCATATGGTGTTCGAATTTCGATATATGAGAACCACACAAATTCGAATTCGGGCATAGACACCACCATTTTAGCTCAATCAGAGGCTCAAGGCACTCATGCATTGCAAGTAACCAGACACTCGGTTGAAACAATCACAGTGACAGAAACAAACCAAACAAACGAAGTCGCTATGAACTTGATGAGGAAGAACCCGAACAGGAAGAGAGTTTTTGGCGCTGTCAAGTGGCAGCATTTTCTGGATTGTATTGAAACTTGAATACAAACAAAATAGTGGTTTTGATGCTACTGCACGCATCATGCCCGTCCTCTTTGTGCGCCATCCCGCACGTCGGGGCATGCCGTGCCAATGACATGACTAACTTGCCCTCCATGGCCGCTGCATCGTGTGCCATCCCACACGCCGGTGCATGTCAAGCCAACTAGTTAAGGATTCGCTCCGGCTTGAACAAGCAAACCTCGAGCTTACACTGACTCGAACCAAAGGAAACAGAGCAAAACAGAGTGAGGAGGAAACAGAGAGCAGGATGGAAAAACAAGGGATAACAAGAATTATTCCATCATGCAGAACATAAAAACATGCTCACGCACAGCAGAAAGAACTAAACAGACAAGTAGTGAATGTCAATCCACACTAGCACACACAAACCACACCATGGGATAAAAGGAGATGCTCCTCTGGTGACAAACCTGTTTCTTCCAGCGGAATGGGAATGTCCCAGCATTGTCTTCATCCTCTTATTCATCTCCATTTTGCTTTGTCTTGAGCTTATGGTTTATTATGTTTAAGATTTATGCTTTTATTGTTTTTAATGGCTTCTTCCACATCATTTGGGACTGAGTATCCATTGAACTCGAGCTCCTTCAACCTAGGAAGGTTATTGATGCCAGAGAGAGAGGTGAAAGATGACCAGACGATCTTCTTGAGCCTAGGAGCTGATCCAGTGATGAAGTTAATCTTGGTGATGGTAGAGCAATCAACACTAAGAAGTTTGAGCCATATGAACTCTTCTTTTTCGAAGGTAATCTGGTTCTGGCTTATGTCAAAAGAGTTTTCCAAGAGCACTAGGCAGCATATATTTAGTTCCCTGGCGATGATTCGTAGATCACCTTGCTTCAGCAATGTACCACGAAGAGTCAGCTTGGCTATTCGTTCAACATTGTAAAAACATGATGATAGCAACCTTCCGCAGCTGCTGCTGTTCAACTCAAGCTCTTCGAATTTTGGAAGCCCATGAACTCCAGAAATAGACTCTATGCAAGTGGAAGATAAAACCATCTTCTCGAGCTCACAGGCTGCCTCATCCTCAAAAGTAATATTAGTCAAGTTTGAGCCCTCAATAAGAAGGTACTTGAGGCATTTGAAATCATCTTTCTTGAAGTTGAGCACACTCTCGGTGCATGAAATGTGTCGGAGCCTAACACACTGTAACATGGGCAGCTGGGCAAAGAACTTCAGATCATCTTGGTTCAGTGGGGTGTTGCTTAGAGTTACCTTGGCAAGTTTCTTATTACCACCTTTGGTCAACAATGGAAAAAGATGCTTGGCTCCACTGATGCTTAGACTCTCAAGAAACTCAGGATGGTCTTTTAGGCGAGATGCAATATCTTGTAACTCTGGGCTTGAAGGAGTAACCTCGAGTGTGGTTGTGGGAATAGTGATTGACAGAGAACGGAGGCTTGCATGTAGGTCACTGATCGCTTTAAGCAAACTCCCAAGGTGACTTTTCTTACCATCAATAACCACACCTAGCTTCCTCAACTGGCATAGCTTCCCAATATCTTCCAAATTATCATGTTGCTGGGCCTTGACATTAGATAGTACCTCTATGTTTATCATCTTGTCTATCCTGGAAGGAATCCGGACGTTAGTGACAAAATTTCTTGGAGTTGGATCAATCTGACTAGCACCAGCAAGTAGACGCTTCAGCTTCAAGAGCAGGACATGTACTGTTGCATTTGCAGGCACCTTGGTTTCTCGGATATCCAATACCTCTAGCTCGCGGAGGCAGTTGATTTCCTTGGGCAGCTGGGTAATATCTGTTCCCTTTAGGCTCAGATATTTGAGCAGTAACATCTTGTTGCAGATGTCCTTGAGGTACCGCTGATTCTTACTAGCAAAGCACTGACAACCTTCTAGATCTAGCACCTTGAGTAGGGATACTCGAGATGATCGTGAGAGGCCTTGGAAGAACGTGCCAATTCTATCAGAGCTGCGGAGTCGAAGATCATTGAAAATGGAGAAGTGGCGAGCCAAGTGATGAGATAGGCGTGTCTCCACAATATGTTGTTTTCTGGCAATTGCGGTAATGAACCCATGAACTGGATCGCCTACCACACAGCTCTTGATCTTTCCTGTGGCACTAATATCATCAGGATAAACAAGCCACCGACGGATGAGGGCATCAAAACATCGATTTGCTTGATACACAGAGCTGGGCCAATCTTCCTTGAATGTCAACCCTTCTGCAACCCACCTTGCAATCAAGGTTGACCGCCTAATCTTCTGTCCCTTGGGGAAGATAGCTAGGTACAGCAAGCATGACTTGTATTCTTTAGGTAGATCATTGTAAGAGTACATGAACATCTTCTTAGCTATGGTGTCGAATGATTTTTTTGGAGACTGCAGGGTGCTGTGTAGCTTCCTTAACTCTTCATTGCTCCTCTTGGGATTAGCATACACAGCATGAGTGAAGATCTTCATGCAGAATTCATGCCCCTCACACTCCTCCAAGATGCCACGAAAAATCTGTGCGTTATCGTTGTCTTCATTCTTGTGCTTGCTAGTAAGCTTGAGCACCGTATAATAGTAGAGACCAACAAGAGAACAGTGATCTATAGGTTCTCGTGGTGGATAGCAATATCCTTTAGCCTGTTCTGTGCTCCCTGTGGTGAAGATCAATGCATCGGCACTCAATTCTAACAGGCTCAGAGCCTTTCTGATCTCCTCCCATCGGGATCCATCCATCATCTGATCAAATTTTAGGATAATGAGGGGGCACTGATCCTGTAAGTGATGTTTAATCTTGTCCACGATCCATTTGATCTTCAGCTGCTCTTTAAGTTCCTGCTTGATTTCTTCAATCTTCTGCTCTACTTCTTCAAAATAAGCCTCTTCGTTTTGATCCAGAACAACTGCATGTTGACCTGTTGCTTGATTCTTATCAGGTGGAACATCAGGTTCACCTGTTGCTTGATTCTTATCAGTTTCGCGTCCCCGCAGCTCCCTTAAGACATCTTGTTTTGCTTCGTTGATCATTTGTTTGATTCGTTCCTCATCCAATGTAGTGGCTGCAGTCTTTGTAGCTTGCTCGGCCACCAATTTATCTTGCTCCTGGGCCTTGCTGCTGGCGTTCTTTGTGAACACTTCTCGTAGGATTTGTTCATATTGATCTTCATGAAGATGAATTGGTTCTTCTTCATCATCGTCGTCGTCCTCCTCCTCCTCCTCCTCATCATCATCATCATCATTGCTGTCTTCATCATTATCAGCATCATGGTCTTCTTTTTCTTCCTCCTCTCCTGCTACTTGTTCTTTTCTTCCTTCTGTCTCCTTTCTTACCTCGTTCTGTTCCTCCTTCCTCCCTTCTTTCTCCTGCTCCTCCTGCTGCTGCTCCTTCCTCTCTTCTCCTCCTTTCTCCATGTCCCTCCTCTCCTCCTTCCCCTCTTCTTCTCCGTCTCCTCTTTCGTCTTTCTCATCCTCCTCCCTCTCTCCTCCTCCGCCTTGTCTGACTGCTGTTTCTTCTTCTACTCCAGTTTGCTCATTAAGCTTCTTGGTCTTTTCATCTGCTTCCATATGATCCTTCAGCCTCATGGCTAATTTTTCTATGAGGTTGTCGTTCCACTCTGGTAATTTATGGGTGTCTACTGCTTTGTTCTTCGCTTGGTCTTGCTGAGACTGGAGCACCAACAGCTGAAGGAGTACATGTAGGTCCACCTGATCCGCACCTTTCTTTTGTAGCTGAAGCAGCAACAGCTTGTTGCTCTTGTGTTGTCCTTCTCGAATGTCGCTCTTGATCTTATCAAGCTTTTCGTAAATATTCATCTTTTTTATATTCCTTTTGATTTTACCGAGCACACTTTTTTTGCTACGGTAAATGCCACATTTTTTGTAGTAATCTTGCCAAGGGTCAGGATCCTCCTCCTCCCATTCACCTTGATCTGTGGGCTGCTTCTGCGATCCGGCCGCTTCTTCCCGCTCGAGCTCCCGCAAGATGTAGTAGAGGACCTCCTTGGGTCGAAGCGGTAAAACATCAAGGTGCACCGCCGGGACGTTGACCATGATACTGCGACGGTAGTAGTAGTTTGGAGCAACCAAAGTTTCATGTGCAATAGCAAGGACTTCCTTATTATCTGCATCTGGTGCTACAATGGCGATGGACAACGTCACGATGGCGTTTCCAGGAACTCCCCCAATCCACTCCAATAACTTCGCCTCCACGTAGTCGTCCAGAGAAGGGGGCTCAAAGACGGGCCATCGAGCAGAATGATGGGCCAACGTTGGTGTTGCCACAGCAAATTGTCCTTCGCGGTCATCTTCATCTTCTTCTTCATCGTCCTCAGCAACATAGCCACCTGTTGCATCAGGTGCGGCCGCCTTCGTCGTGGCTGGGATCTCAACGCCATACCTCAGTCGTCGCTTGCCGACGTCCCGCGCCCGGTCCTTGAGCTGGCGGAGTTGGATGGCCGCTCGGTGCTGCGCGACCATCTTGCGCAGGGACCAGTAGACCCACCAGAGGTGTCGCCGGAGTCTACCTTTGGTACGGTGGATCTCCGGGTTCCCGCTGTAGAGGTAGAGGTCGATGCAGTTGTTGCAGTCCTGCGCGAGCAGGCGCACCTGGTTCATCCAGGTGCGCACCTGCTCGTCGTGCTCTCCACCCTGCGGCGCGCTCCTGGCTAGGTGCCCCAGGAAGCTGTTCATGCTCTCCATCTCCTCCTTGATGAACTGCACATCGTCCCGGACGCCGCCAAGCAGCACAGCCTCGTTGCGGATGACCACCAGCAGTGAGCTCACGGCGCCAGCCGCGAGCTCGGTCATGGCCGCTGATGGCTCCCGCTCCTTCCGTGGTCTTCAATTAAAATTGGTCTTGCTGCCTCGCGGTCGGTCGCGGCGGCAGAGGCTAACTGGCTAAGGTGGGGTTGGGGTGGTGAACTGGGGGATGTGTTCTTCGCATGGCGGCATGGGATGTGAACATACTACTACTCCTACCAAACATCCGCTTTATGGCATCAATTATTTGACTTAGACGACGGACTGAGGGTAGTCACAACCGTTCACACTCTCACAAATACTTCCCTCTCGTATTTATCTATACTCTTCTTAAAGAGCAATTAATGTACTACCACCAACTCACTGAGCATTGTACTTTTTATTTACCATCCACTTGATCATTCATGTTTTCTACCCACTACCTTATAAACTTTTATGTTATAAAATAATCTCTCTCTCTCTCTCTATATATATATATATATATATATATATATATATATATATATATATATATATATATATATATATATATATATATATGATCCTATCATATTTCATCTGTACAATATAACATCTATAGGTATAAAATTGTCCCAAAAGTTTATAAGGCACGCGCCTATGAGCGCAAGGCGTCCAAGCACGGCGGCAGGGCCAAACCGCTCTGCTTGATGGTAGCGTGCTGCCGCCTTCCCGCATTGTGAGCGAGAGGCAAGCCGGGCTGCCGCGCCGCTTCATGCCGGAATCTGCCACCGGCCGGGAGATAGTCACGCTGGGCGAGGGACGCCCGGCGCCATGCTACCCGGGGCGGTCCGTCTTCTTTCTCCCTTTTGCAATGGCGGGGCTGGTTCCGCCATTTTCTTCTTTCTTCATGGATGTTCTGGAGTTTTACGATCTCCAGATGGCGCACCTCACCCCCAACGCGGTAATGACATTGGCCATCTTCGCGCACCTGTGCGAGATGTTCATCGGGGTGCGCCCATCCCTTTGGCTGTTCCGGTGGTTCTTCACCGTACAGTCGGTGTCGCCGCCGTCGGTGGTTGGTGGCTGCTACTTCCAGCCGCGGGGGCCGGTGCTGAACCGCTACATTCCCTGCGTCCTCCGCAAGAAGTGGGATGACTGGAAGAGCGACTGGTTCTACACCCCCCTCGCCGACGAAGCGCGCCTCCGACTTCCGAGCCAGCCCCCGGCGCAGGCCTCCAGCTGGCGGGCGCCGGTAGATCTGGGAGATGGCTATGACGCCGTCCTCGACCGCCTGGCGGGCCTGCGATCCCAGGAGCTCACAGGGGCCATGGTGTACGGCGACTACCTCCGTCGCCGGATTGCGCCGCTCCAGCGGCGCGCCCGGGGCGCCTGGGAGTACACCGGGTCCGAAGACTACATGAGGACCCACCAGGGGGTCAAATGGGATTGGGCTCCTGAGGACTTCAAGATAGTAGTCCAACGGGTGCTGAATCTCAGCTCCGTGGAGGCATCCCTCATTCCCCAAGGAGTCCTTCCCCTCTGCAGCGATCCAGATCGCGCCTCCATCCTGACCATCATGCTGGCGGTCGGGGCGTCGGAGGAGCGGGCTCCTCGAGGCCACGATGGCGCGGGCGGGAGCCGTAGGGGGGAACAATCTACCCCGGGAGGGGGTCGTGCTTCTGGGCCCCGCGACGGGGGCCCGGGGAGCAGCCGCCCTGCCGACGCCCGGGGGAAGAGGAAGCAGGAAGGAACCCCTCCCCTATCTCCTCCCCGAGGGGGCGGGGCGGCGAGTGCCAGCAGCAGGCGCCCGGAGGGGGCCACGCCGACGTCGCAGCCCGAGGGGGAGCGGAAGAAGAAATGGCTCCGCAAGATGGGGGGGACAGAACCATCCCGGGGAAACCTTATTTCCCCTCCAAGGTGGTCGTTTAACCGACCCCCTCGCAGGTTCGTCCCACGCCCATCGTGGCTGTATTCATTCTCTAAACGCGAGTTTTCACTCACCCATCTTGTTTGTCTTCTGGTCTTTCTTCTGTTTCAGCGAGATCCCGTCGCGTCCCTCCCGCCATTCCAAGTCCGGCCAGTCTGAGGCCGAGGATCCGGCGGCCGCAGAGGCTCGGAGGCGGGAATCTGACCGGCGAGAAGCCGCGGATCGCCTACGGGAAGCCGAGGAGGCCGCTCGGGAGGCTGCCCGGGCTCGCCAGGCCGAGGAAGCCGCTCGGGAGGAGGCCGGACTCCGCCAGGCCGAGGCGACGACATCCTCCGAGGCGACCCGTGAAACTGACCAGCAAGAGGCCGCGGATCGCCTTCGGGAAGCCGAGGAAGCTGCCCAGGTGGCCGCCCGAGCTCGCCAAGCTGAAGAAGCCGCTCGGAAGGAGGCCAGACTTCGCCAGGCCGAGGCGACGACGACTTCCGAGGCAGCTCGCGACGAGGCCGCGGGCGCATCGCTTGGGCCCACTCCCTCGGGCGACGCTCAGGACAAGCCAGGTCCGGGGGACATCCCCGAGTCCGGCACGTCCATCGGCGGCCCGAGCCGCGTGGCATCTTCTCCGAGGCGGCTCTTCCCCACGCCTTCTGTTGCCCCACTGAACGCAGAGCCCCTTCTGCAGGCCTTGGCTGTCGTAAACACCACGGTGTTGGACGGGTTAAATGCCCAGGTGGAGGCCCTGCAAGCAGAGCGGGCGGAGCTCGACGCCGCATGGGCGCGTGTCGAAGAGGGGCGACGCTCGGTGGAAGCCATGGTGGAGGTGGGCCGCAAGGCACACCGCCGGCACGTCTCAGAGCTTGAAGCCCGTCGGAAGGTGCTGGCGGAGATCGCCAAGGAGGTGGAGGAGGAGCGGGGGGCTGCCCTCATCGCCACCACCGTGATGAACGAGGCGCAGGACACCCTCCGCCTTCAATACGGGAGCTGGGAGGCGGAGCTAGGGAAGAAGCTCGACGCCGCCCAGGGGGTCCTTGACGCTGCCGCTGCCCGAGAACGGCGGGCGGCAGAGACCGAAGTGGCATCCCGGCGGCGCGAAGAAGCCCTTGAGGCCCGTGCCATGGCGCTGGAAGAGCGTGCCTGCGTCGTGGAGAGGGACCTGGCGGACCGCGAGGCCGCCGTCTCCATCCGGGAGGCAACGCTGGCGGTGCACGAGGCCGCCTGCGCCGAAGAGGAGTCCGCACTCCGCCTCCGTGAGGACGCGCTCACTGAGCGGGAGCGAGCTCTCGAGGAGGCCGAGGCCGCGGCGCAACGGCTGGCGGACAGCCTGTCCCTCCGCGAGGCAGCGCGGGAGGAGCAGGCGCGCCGTAATCTGGAAGGTGTCCGCGCCGAGAGGGCCGCACTGAACCAGCGGGCCGCTGAACTCGAGGCGCAGGCAAAGGAGCTGGACTCGAGGGCGCGCAGCGGCGGGGCGGCTGTGGGCGAAAGCGACTTAGCCGCCCGCCTCGCAGCTGTCGAACACACCATCGCCGATCTGCAGGGCGCGCTAGACTCGTCCGCCGGGGAGGTCGAGGCCCTCCGCTTGGCAGGCGAGGTAGGGCCCGGCATGCTTCGGGACGCCGTCTCCCGTCTAGACCGCGCCGGGCGGCAGGCGGGTCTCTGGGGCAGGCGGACTGTGAAGTACGCCGCCAACTAGGGGGGTCTCGCCCAACGCCTCTCGGAGATGGCCGGGACTCTCCAACGGCTCCCCGAGGAGCTCGAGAAGACGATTAAGTCATCCTCGAGGGACCTCGCCCGAGGAGCAGTGGAGCTCGTACTAGCGAGTTACCAGGCCAGGGATCCCGACTTCTCCCCATGGACGGCGCTGGACGAGTTCCCTCCCGGGACCGAGGACGGCGCGCGCGCGCAGGTCCGGGACGCCGCCGACCACATCGTCCACAGCTTCGAGGGTTCGGCCCCTCGGCTCGCGTTCGCCCTCAACTCCGACGAGGAGGACGATGACGGCGGAGTGGGCGGCAGTGGCGACGAGGCTGGCGACCCGGGCGCATCGGATTGAGCCCCCAGGCCCCCGCCAATCTTCAGTTTTTTCTTCTTTTCTTTCTTCTAAGGCCTTCGGGCCTCCTTTTTGTATAAATTAACTTAATCTGCAATCAAAATGAAGAAATTTTTGTCTCAATTTCATTTTGCTATGTGTATGAGATGAGGATGATCTGTGCCGTGGTCCTTTTGTGTCTTAGCTTGATTAAGGGCTCGTGCCCAGGTCCCAGTCCTCAAAAGGCGCGGGTCGGGGCTAGTGCCTGGGGAGATCCACGTGTCGAGACTGGCCAGGCCGGGAGCGTGGTGACCGAGGGTTATGGGTGACCCTATTGTGGGTTTTTGCCGATTCCCCCCCCCCCCGGAGTTCACCACGCCCCGGGGCACGGCTCGGTTCTGGGCCCCTTTTGGCGATTTTAGCCGACCCGAGCCCCCGAGGGCAGGATTGAGCACGAGTGACCTATTTCAAGTCAAGATTCTTCAAAAGGAAATAACAGTACAGATACAGCCTTTAGGAAATCGAAAATGCTTTTATTGAAATACAGATATAAGAGCAGATATAAAAGAAATAAAAATATGCATGTGTGGTAGCCCCCGGCCAACCCTGCACGCCCGAGGGGGGTGCGGGGTTGGCCCGAGCCCGAAACCTGACACCCGATCCCCCTTAGGGGTAGAAGCGACGAAGGTGTTCGATGTTCCATGGGTTAGGCAGCTCTGTGCCGTCGCCCGTGGCCAGCCGAACGGAGCCCAGCCGGGGGACGCCGATCACTCGATACGGACCCTCCCACATTGGTGAGAGCTTGCTCAATCCAGCACGCGTTTGGACGCGGCGTAGGACGAGGTCTTCGACGCAGAGTGATCGGGCCCGGACGTGGCGCTGATGGTAGCGCCGCAGGCTCTGCTGGTAGCGCGCGGCTCGGAGGGCCGCGCGCCGCCTTCGCTCCTTCAAGTAGTCAAGGTCATCTCTGCGAAGCTGATCTTGATCAGCCTCGCAGTACATGGTGGCCCGAGGGGACCTCAGGGTGAGCTCGGATGGGAGAACCGCTTCCGCGCCGTAGACGAGGAAGAAAGGCGTTTCCCCGGTTGCTCGGCTTGGTGTGGTTCGGTTCGCCCAGAGCACCGCTGGCAACTCCTCGATCCACGAATCGCCGTGCTTCTTGAGGATGTTGAAGGTCTTGGTTTTAAGGCCTCTGAGGATTTCCGCATTGGCACGCTCCACTTGGCCATTGCTTCTGGGGTGGGCAGGTGAGGCGAAGCAGAGCTTGATGCCCATATCTTCGCAGTAGTCGCCGAAAAGCTCACTAGTGAATTGGGTGTCGTTATCCGTAATAATACGGTTAGGCACTCCAAACCGTGCTGTGATGCCCTTAATGAATTTAAGTGCGGAGTGCTTATCGATCTTGACGACCGGATAAGCATCGGGCCACTTAGTGAACTTGTCGAT